CTCTCTCTCTCTCTCTCTCTCTCTCTCTCTCTCTCTCTCTCTCTCTCTCTCCCTGTCTCCCTCTCTTACAGGTTGAAAATAAAGATGTTAACTTGTCAGGGCAAAAATTAAAGACAAAATTTAGTTGAACTCTAGAGAACGGACACAATTAATATCTATAGCAACAGTTTGCAATTCGTGTAAACAAGTACCAATGACTTAGAGTGTATCAACCAACGATATAAGTTAAGCGTGTTGCTAAAAGTTTTTAAATGGTTAAATATGGAGTAAAATTCAGCTGAGCGTTTGTAAGATAAAAAGTTATACAACAAAGATGAGAACTAAAGGACAGAGTCAAGTCATATCTTTTGTAGATGGGTGCTGAGTGTGTGTTATCTATGTCGAATACAGGCATATTAGTGGCATTTTGCTTTAATGAGAGGAACATGTTATCTACAATCAGGATGTTTCAGGCATACCTGTGAAATTATAGAATGTGGAATCTGACTGCCAAGCAGGTCAATGAACTGTTCCTGGCTGGTATGGCGGACCTAATGCGGTTGGGGCACTTTTGCTTCTTTCGTGTTGACTGTTCTTTTCAACAAAAGAGTTAGAAAACGTCTCTAGCAAAATATTTACGTCACGGCTTAAAGTTCGTTGTGGCACCACTAGACCAAGATGAATTAACGTGGGAAAGCCCAATAGTAGCTATACAAATCTGTTTTTGCATAGGTGTACACCAGTGTTCGTGGAAAAAAATAATACGCCAAAAGGGCAAAATTATGGATACTTTATGCTCGAAGCATAGCCTTCCGAGGTCCATGGTGTCAAAGCATTGGGTAATTTGTGGTGAAAGAGAGCAGATCGGCTGTCTCTTGCGAGTTCTTTATGTGTTGAGGCCACATACCCCGCATTGTAAAATATAGCCATTTTTTTATCACGCAGAATCCCATTCATCATGTCAACCAGGTCATCCAGAAGAATTATTTCTGCATCTGACAAAGGCTTAGCGCACAAATCACGTGTATCTGCACAATTATTGCTTTTAAGGCTGTGACATGTGTCCAGCATCAGCGTTGCCCTGTCAGAGGAGACATCCTAAACAGTAACAAAATAATTGCTGCCTACAGCCATTTAAGTCCTCAAAATGTCGTTCCAGATCGTCTTGTTGAAACAGCCTGGACGTACAAAGGAATGCTTGATATGTCTTAAAGGAAATGGGCCAGTTCAGCAAGACATTTACGCGACCACTGTACTGCTTCTGAATGTTGACGAGTCCTCAGCCAAGGCAGGTTTCCTGACATAGGTTGGGGGGGGGGGCGGCAGAGACACTGTAACATTCGCCAAGTTCGCCATAGTTTTCATTCTCGTGTTCCTCTCTCAGCAATGTCAAGGGCGATTCGCTGTGATTCATAGAGGCCAATATCATGAACAAGTTACTTGCAGTTCAAAGGTTTCCACAAGCGGATGACCCGGTCATTGAAAAGTGCCACGTCATTTGAAGATTATGTGACTATAATAAAAGTTGCTCTTGTTTCGACTCAGAAAGTATTCAATGTCAATCACACCCTTTAACGTTCTGTGTTTGATGGACACCTTGTTGTTTTTGTAAACTTTGACATTGTCACTCACGTTTAAAAAAGTTTGTATTCTCAGACCATCTAGCAAAGGTTGCAGTTTGAAGAGTCCATAACAGAAAAACTTTAACATCATTCATTACACTTTTGATCACGGTGGTGAGACTTACACGCCGAGCCATCGACCCATCAATAATTATTCGTATCATTAAGTGCGGGTGGCAATTCCGTCTAAAAATGATTAGCTTCCATTTCTTTTCTTAACATTGTGTGATAGTTCAGTCTACGGGTAATGAATTGTGTTAAGAAAAACTTATCTTTTCTGTCGCAGATGTAACTTGACCCAAGTAGACCAGACGAAAAGGGAACGCAGAAAAGATGAAGAGCCTCTAAAAACTTTGAGAAGGTAAGTTCACTTTTAAGACAGTTCTTTGTACTTCAGAAGCCGGTGTTAAAAGGAAGAGCAGATCTTTATAGATCTTCTTTCTTTATTTTATCGTTACTTGCGTTATTTTCGTCCAGCGCTTGTATCCCAAGATGTGTGGCAAGAAGTAAAGGGCGTCTGACTTCTGCTTGACTGAAGGCCTGACCTTATGGGATATTGTTGTATGACGCCATGGTCTCGTTTAACTCGTTGAATTATACTTTAAGTGGCTACCCATTGGCCATGCTGCCACTTCGGTTTGTACTCTATTCTGTGGGATATGCAAGGATTTGGGGGGGGGGGGTTAAAGGGTATTGCTGTAATACATCAGCTGTTTCTGTTTGTCGGACAATTTCCCGAGCTCCGTGGGAACACCCATCATGTGTTCATAATATGTTGATTTTCAACTAAAGTAAATATTCAATGATCAAAACCGTCCTTATTCGTAAATGAGTTTCTCAATAAACATATGATATTTGTTAGGGATGTTTTGTTATGGGAAAATAAAGCTGAAAGGTTCATTTAATAGACGTTGCATGTGGATGAAACTCACAAAGTGCACATACTTGTAAATGCCAAAGAGATGGATACTGAGAAAAAAGATAATATTTGTTGTATCGATATAAAAATTATCAAGAGAGATGCAAAGGCCAACACCATTTTGTGTGTGTGTGTGTGTGTGTGTGTGTGTGTATGTGTGTGTGTGTGTGTGTGTGTGTGTGTGTGTGTGTGTGAAAGAAGAAACAAAAAACAAGCTACAAAATCTATTAACCTTGCGCGCTCCATAACATAAAGCAAACTTAGCAAGCCATTAGCAATGGAATGTACTGTTTATAAAAAAAAAAATGACTCCTTCTGTTGCAAACCTCTAGTTACTTCACGTAGCCCTCACAAAAGTGGGATATATTTTGTTAAGGCGTCCCTAACCATACTGCTTGTATCATGTTTATCTTTGTTTTGTTTTGCTTTTTGTTTGGTTGATTTGATTTTAATGCCTAAAACACCAAGCACATCTTTATCTGTAAAAAACCTTCTGTGAATCAAAAGAGTTGTTAGGTATTATAGATTGATAATGTTCTGATTCATAAGATAGCAAAAAAATGATATTGGAAGCATCAACCTGTCGTTTGATTTGCAGATTTGCGTTACACATTTTACGGCCATTTAACTTCACTATTATACAGGTTTGTTGAACCCCAAAGAGATGGAAGAGAAAGGAAACAAATAATTAAGAATAAAGTTTTGTTTTGTTGGCCTGGTGAGATCTCTGGCTGTTTATGGCCAGGTACCCATTCACACCTGGGTGAAGTGGGCAAAATTCGTGAACACAACATCAAGCGAGACGAGCTTCGGAGCCTCGAACCTTACGATTATGGTTTTGGTTGCCTAACCACTGAACTTCAGTGCCTATCTGTATACAGATGCTGTATTATAATTAGCCTCAAGATTGACAATGGAAGCTCATATCAATATTCGGACGTAAAGATATAAAAATTTGTTTGAAAAATAACTGGACAAATTGCATGCTCAGTGAATGACGACTGGACAAGAAAGATCGGGTCTCGCCGGCTGTGAAAGTTTCTCCTCATTCCAGTCGTCCTATCCCTTCGAAATATAACACTCCAAGTAGGTTTACCTTGATTCGCTTATGTTGTGAAAAGATGCTGCCCATATAAATTGATTTACCGGTAAAAAAAAAAAAACACCATGATGAAGTGACTAACTTAGCGAAATATAAAAGTAAGGTAGAAGTAATGGATTATCTCAACGATTAGAAATAATGGATACTTTTGAATAATGACGTTGTGAATCTACGGCCCGCTTGTTCTTACCGGTATCAAATTTAAATTTAAGACCTCTTAGCCGATGACCCATGCGTTCTGCTGGATGTTTTTCTCTATGTCTTTTTTTGGGTGGGGGGGGGAATGAGGCATCACATTTTACCTAGAGTATATTATTATATTATCATATTGTATACCGTCCTGGAACCGGAGTCTGTGGTGGAGCAGTTAGGCGTTTTGCCCTTGCACGCAAGAGACCTAATATCGACCCTCGTGTGAAGTGAACTTCTATCGAGAATCTCGGTCTTTCTGCTAGGGTGTTGCATCCCCTTCAGCCTGGGCTGGCCCTGACAGACATCGCTAAAGCCTACCTTTTTAAAATGATTTGAATTGTGTCGGTTGTATGTAAAACTTTTTGCATTATGAAATAACAGTCCTGGTGACGTTATGTTTTTGTTGCAGTTTTCGGATGTTCCCGGAGAATAACGTGTCTCCAATGTTCGGAATATTCGCTGGACTCGACGAGGAGAGCGACATCCGAGTTGGAGATCCTGTCTACGCAGTTCGGCGGTACCGTCGGTAATTCACGCCTTGGTGGGGTGTGAGGCTGGGTGGTGTGATTTGCTCTCTCGTTCCTATATTTATCTCTAGTAGCGCCTCTAATCTTTGCCACTTATATGACCTATTTGTAGTGCAAGCGCCCTAAAACTATTAGTAAAGCGAAACCCTTCGTTAATGTCGAGTTTTCCTAAATATAAAAAATAAAGTCTTTTCGGTGTATTCTACTTTTTCAAATATAATTCTGATTTTTTTTACTACTGTAACAGGATTATCATTGCTATTGTTGCAGAGGTTCAACGAAATAACAGATGCTGTTGAATTCTCTGTGAATGGCAAGGAAACATTTCAGCCTGTCTTTATTACAATGATACATACTTTAGGTTTTCGTTCAGGAAATAAATTTTAACCTTGATCAAGCTCGTGATAGTTGTCGGATACAGCAGTGGATTAGTTACGTTGAAAAAAAATAAACAGTACGGAGTTTTGAGGTTTAAATGTTCTTACGTGAGCATTGTTGCGTTTCCAGGCTGAGAAGCAATGGCCCAACCTCCGATATGACATGTAGTGTAACTCTTCTTTATCACTCATCTCTATATTAAAGAACCCGCGCAGCAGATCAATGCTACAAACAACGCACCACTTGCTATGTTCTCACAAAAGTTGCCATCCCTGCATAAGTCCAAGCTGAGAGCAAGGCGTTTCCAAACTTGTTTCTTTTAATTCTTGGAATTTTTAAGAGGACAACCCCTCCCTCCACTACCCTCTGTTCCATTTACAACAGGTATAATATCTGATGTTTTGCCATCTGAAAAGTTCGCTGTATGTTCAAAGAAAAGGTAAATTCATAATCTGTTACTTAAAGTGTTAGACAGGTCGGGAAAATATCATGTGTCGGTTATGAACATATTGTGTTTCGGTTAGCTGCTCCACACCGTTTTAATGATGGTGGACTTTTGATCTGAGAAGTTTCATCTCTTAAAGTAAAGAGATCATTTCAAAGAAGAGTAAATTCAACTGCAAGCCAATGCGGTATTGCAACCATTTTTGTCGTGAATGCTAACAAGGAGAACATTGAATTCGGAGTAGAGTACACTGGTAGCTCAGTTGACAGTTGGCTGAGTTACAGTGCGAGTGGCACTAGTCGAACAATTTCCGAGTTTAGAGAATTTCCGTGACACTTCCTCCACCTTGTCTGGATTATTGTAGACAGACTCTAAGATCGGACGTGTTATCTCTTGAATAGACACGAAGTACTACAAACACCAAGAAGAGGATGTCTGTCTGTATCGGGGGGGGGGGGTGTCGTTGATGTCCTAGATGTCCAGAAATCTGGCACACAGTCTGTCTTTTTCAATACAACCAGAAAGTGCAACTAGCAACGTCTGGCCCCATGTAATGGAGAATTTGTGTGCCGGATGTGATTGATGGTGTGCTCAAACCTGAGGCAATCGTCTGTCCCTCCTACATTCTTCCGAGACAAAGGAGAAGAAAAATCTTGTTTGCTTCTCTGTCGGTGAAAGAAAACAAATATTTTGTAAATTGGGGTTTATTTTCTTTTTTCTGGGTTATTCTTTAAGTGTCATAAAGGGTTTGTTAACCTGAGAAATGTTAATAGGATTATTTGGTTTTATAGAGTACAATGTTTCGGAACTCCTCCCCCCCCCCCCCCCCCGTTTTTTTTCGGGAGGAGGGGTGGACGAGGAGGAATGGTGGGGGGGGGCAGGATTTTTGTTCCTTGTCTTCTACTTGGGTTCATCATACATGACTTCCTGGTAAAATGTTTGCCTTTATGAGATTTCGGGAATGTTGTCGAAATTGCGATGCCATTTCTGGTTTGGAGGAAAAAGTGTGGTTTTCTATTAGCTTTATTTGGTTTATTTGTGTTTGTTTGCTGTTGTTGGTGGGGATTTTTTTTTTTGCTGTTCTGTTCTTTTGAGGGGGGTATGGGGGATGGGATTGGGGGAGAGATTGCAGTGTAGTTCGTGGAGGGAGTGTGAACCGAAAGAAAAGTTCGGGGTGGGGAGGCGGCGGCCATAGAGGAAATTACAGCTTTCAAATAATCCCCCTTGTGTCTTATAGGATGAGGACGATGAACCTGCTATGATAAAGGATGTAAAACTCATTAATGAGCACTGCTACGGATGTGTCAACCGTATGTCTAAGGTCATTGACTCATTAGGAATGGTCAGTTCCACTCTCATGTTATGGGTTAGTCTTGTTTCTCCCCAGGCGTTTTAAATTTCTACAAGTAAGCGAATTATAGAAGTAAAGCTAATGAGATGACCGAATGTAGCCTATCCTAAGACTTGAATCATAATATTCTTGACCAGGGTGCTTGCCAGCTTGGACACCTTGATAGTTTTGTGGGCGGCAGGAATCACCCGAGTATTGACAAGTTTATTTATTGGTCATATTGAAAATACATATAGGTGGACGGTACGAGAATGCTAGCCTTTTAAAGGTAGAAAAATGGAAGCGAGCTATAAAAAGGTTGACAAGCACTCTCCTAAGCCGACCTTTGCTCTCTATAAAATCTTTGCTGTGAAGCGAACGAAGGGCAAAACACATTTTTGACGCGGTTCGACCCTCCCCCCCTTGTCTTTCATTTGCTTTTAAGTAAAGTCAGTAATGGTGCACTTTATATTGATATGGTTATACGTCAGAGTGTGTAGTCTAGGATATTAAGAACAAGTCTATGAACTTATCAAACGGATATTCATATTATGTTGTGTGCACTTTTGCAGGATATTGAAAACAAAGATATGTTCATGATATAATTCGACGTTTTCAATGACACTTTCGCCTTCTACAAAATATTGTCTTACTTGCAAGGGAAGGTTCTTATCTAATCAGTCGGATCTCTCCCAAAGACGTGTAGGGAATTCAAAAAGAATAAACACGTACTGTACAGAAAAATATAAAACCTTTTTAGAATTTGAGGTAACTCGTCTTCTTCCCACGAATTATAAAAAGGTCATCCTAAAGCTACAGCTACTTATTTCTATAACTTAAATTTTTTTTAAGGCGTTCATCTATCATTTCGTTAAAAAATAACAAAAATGAAATAGATACACTTACATCCAGCTTTTCGATACACTAACTTCAGTTACATTCATGCCATGGACTCAAAAGAGTAAAAATTTTCAATTATTTTTTAGAAAGCCACAATACACAAAAACCGATTGGCTCCTTGATACTATCAGAGCAAGGAAAACAAAAATCATTGTCACATAGTGAGGCAAAATCGTGTAGAAAAGATATTTTGCTTAATGACATGACAAATTCCCGGAAAGCGTGGCTGAGGACGTCCAAAAAGAAGACCTTGTCAGGAAATCAATGATCAACAATAAAAATTGTTACTGAGGCTTGAACACAAAACATGTAAGACCAGCTGCTGTCAGGTGGACCTTTAGGAAGGCTATGCTTCGAATGGGGGTCTAGAAGAGAAAGATATCTAGTTGTTTAAAAAATTGTTTCCGATAGAGGAAGAAATACAATCAGACTTGTTATACGCAATAAAATCGGTTACTGCCAAGCTGGCATGAACTGGTTTCAATTTCGCTGTGGCAAATTGTAAACTTTCAGCAAACCCGAGGAGCGGTCAATCTCACTTTCAATCCCCGTGTCCGATCCTCTCTCCCCCCGCCCCTTTCTACACAAACACACACACACACACACATACACACACACACACACACACACACACACACACACACACACACACACACACAATTGCACAATGTAGAAAGGGAAATATGTAGAATGGATATCATGTCCAACCTGTGCAAGAATGGAGGAAATTGCTGTGTTACTCGAACTGATTCGGACTAGTCTGTCAAGCATTGCAGCCCCTCCTGACCTGATAACAATTAGACATACTGAGCAAACCGCGCAGCCACGTTGACCAGTAGTAACTGCCATTAAAAGGAAAAGGGGGGCTTGTAAAATGCTTCGTTATTGAGAAAGTTTCAATCCTCCGACCCAGTGAAAGAGGTGTTAACCCTTTAATGTCCACAACAAAAAGTAGGGACATACAAATTTTAGGTCTACACTGTTGTTACAAAAGCAATATAAATGAAATCTTCTCTAGGAATAATCTATGAAATTAACAATAATTTGAACCCTACCCTACTACCACCCGGGAACATAAAAAAATCCCCCAAAAGACAAAAACGAGGTAAAGAACTAACAACACTATTCGTGTTTTAACATTTACATAAGAATCAATTTGCACTAGGAGGTTAAAAAGTAGAATGACTGTCTACCAAAAGACAGAAATTGCAACCCTCAAACGTTGAACAGCACATGATTACTCAAATGTAAATGTGTGATAACGACTTTTTTTGTCTCTTTTCTTATTGTGTGCTGTTCTTTATTTTTCCCTATTCCTATTTTACCAAGAGATCCACCTTTTCTATTCCTCTTTAATGTTCAACACGAAGTTTCCTCTTGTTCTACGAGATCTGTATAATCATATCAAAGATCATACAGCGCCATTGTAAAGGCAGGGAAGGGGGTTAAACTCTTTTTCAAAAATGATAAATGACCAGCAGCGAATAGTAGCATTGTCCCCTCACAGCGTGCAGAATCCTCCAAACTACCAAACTACATGACTATCTCCAGACATACATCTGTCTCGCCCTCATCTGCTTGTCGATTTGTGTTCTTTGAGGATCGCAAATGGACGTCCTCGTCGTTGGTTACGATGACACGCCAAACCCACAGCAAGACCGAACGCTTCTCTGCTGTCAAGAAAGATCGATGGGTGTGAATGTCTGGTCGCAAACACTACAAAATCTTTCCCTTTGGCTTGTGTCTGCTAAGAAGCATTCATGCTCTGCATACAGCCCTCATTCAGAAGCTTTGTCTACCCCAAGACTCCTCACATTTGAATGGTTTAAAGTACAGTTACGCCCAACTCTATTCGACCAACTGCTCGGAACAGAAAACGAAAAAGGGAATGGGTACAAAATTCATCCATCACTGTTTTTTGTAAACTGAACCCGCGGTTCTGTCTGTTAAGCATGGTTCGCTTAATTTATGTATGCCAAGTTTATGGAGTTATCTGCAGTTGTTCACTATAATTTTACAACTGTCCACAGATTTACATCGGCCCTCCTCTTCAAGTTTCCTTGACCTACTATGCACATCCGAAGTCCTCCGTCTCTATGAAACCAACATGGGGGTAGCTGTGACGTTATACACGAAAGACGACTTTAGCTTATTTTAGGAATAGGCGGCTGAGGTAGACCTTTACCAGGAATGCTAAGGGTAGTTAGTGTACGTGCGGCGTATATACACCAAATGCATTATAAGTAGCTTTATGGTGCTTTGGCTCAGGATACATCAAGGCCGTAACATGACGGTGCAGCACACAAAACGCTAATGGACCAAAATGCAGATGAAAGGGTTTGA